GTCCTCTACCTGACAGCAGTCTTGGATGTCTGATCCTCAAATCACATTTCTACACCTTTCTCTAAGAGTGGACTGACAGACACAGGATGAGATTTCCAGAAATTCCCAACCCACATGGGAAGAGAGGAATAACCTGCACCAAGCAGGAACAGGGAGAGCAATCCACATGTCTTCAAATAAGAAAACTAATGACAGTGCAAACTTGCAACCTCTTTGAGTTTTTTAAATAATAGTTTTACTGAGATATAATTCACATAACATACAATTCACCTACTTAAAGTACTCAATTCAGCGGTTTTTAGTACATTCACAGATATGGGCAACCATCACAATGGATTTAGAACATTTTCCTCCCCCTGACAAGAAACCCCATCCCCATTAAGCAGTGACCTCATTTCCCCCTCCCCCATCCCTGGAAACCATTAATCTGCCTTCTGTCCCTATGGATTGGCTATTCCGGACATTTCATAGAAATGGAATCAGAGAATACGTCGTCCTTTGTGACTGGCTTCTGTCACTTAGGATAACATTTGCAAGGTTCATCGTGTTGTAGAACCTCTGTGACTTCTGTGTATGGTGATACTGCTCTTGGACAAAACCACTCCCAATCGTGTTTACATCGAGGTGTCTTGAACAGTGGGGCAGAGCAGATCTCCTCAAGTTCTGGGAGGCTTACCAACTCTGGCTCTGTTGCCAAAGTGCTGGAGCCTGGAGCCCCTGCCCCGGCCCTTCCTAGCATGATCTTGCACAGGTTCTTCACCTCTCTAAGAGTGTTTCCCCATCCAAGGAAGGTGCAAACTATACCACCTTTAAAAGGTGGCTGTGACGATTACATGCAATAATTCATACAAAGCCCTTAGCACAGTGTCTAGCATGTAGTAAATATTCAACAAATGTTAGCTGTTGAATTGGTATTCCTATTATTAATAATATACAGACCAGAACAGTCAGATGGAGCGAACTTAGCTAGTTATACAGCATAATGATAAAGAGAGAAACTACTAAGAAAGCTCTGATCAACAAAAATAGATACTGCAAAAACCAAACAATTATTTTATTGCATAGTAAAGCATCACTCAGAGCCTGTTTATTCCTGTTGAAGAGATAGTTCCAACAAGTGTCATGACACTGTCTAGCCAGCAGCAGCAAAAAAGATACAGGAGGGAGAAAGGGGCTTGCCACAGGCAGGACGAAGCCACACCATCCTAGAAGAGCAGTTAGGCTAACCAACTAAGAAAAGCCCCTTTCCAAGAGAAGCGTTTATTATAAGATGAATCTTAATTTGTATTTTCTACTTATTTAGTTCAACAGCCTGGAGCAGCTGTGCATCAACTTCACCAACGAGAAACTGCAACAGTTTTTCAACCACCACATGTTCGTGCTGGAGCAGGAGGAGTACAAGAAGGAAGGCATTGAGTGGGAGTTCATCGACTTCGGGATGGACCTTGCTGCCTGCATTGAGCTCATCGAGAAGGTTCGCTTGCTTTTTGCAGATCGCAGATCAAACTGCTGAACAGTACTTAAATTAAAAGCATAAAACCTTGGTATAGAAATGGTAAAACATTTCTATTTGTAAACAAAATAGGAAAACTTCCTTCTTTTGCCCACTCTGAGATAGGTACTCTGGTAGAAGGAGACTGAATATTTTCTATAAAGTCCAGAACTCTACATAGCCCCACAGTTTGCAAGGCAAGCCTTATATTTAAAGCCATGTTTCCTCAAAAAAGGGCGTTGATGAAAATAGTTTTTAATTCTTATTTCTTTGCCATCCTTGGTTTCATTATGACAGGCATTTGAAATATGAATTTCTAGTACTCTAAAGCAGAGGTTCTCGAACTTCAGTTGTGCCCAAGACTCACCAGAAGTACTTAATAAAATTGCAGATTTTCCTAATCTCACTCCTTGAAATACTTTTTGGTAAGTGTGGGATGGAGCCTTGGGATCTGCATTTTCATCAAGTGATTCTGGTGCTACTAGTTTGCCAGTCACACTTGGAGAAATATTGCTCTAAAGCCTTTGGGGCAAAGACACAAACTCCACAAGAGCAATGCCCTCCATTTATCTTACTCTCCATCATATCCGGGAGCACAACACAGCACCTGCATCTTGAAAGGCACTCAAGAAATATTTGTTAAATGAACAACTTCTCAACAAAGACATGAGTTTTCATTGACTATAAGGAATTAAAGGATGAATTTACTCAAATAAGATCCTAATGTTACATATTATTTCTACAAGCAGACAAAGTTCAAATGGCATTTGTTTCTTTTTATTCTTTTAGCCTATGGGCATCTTCTCCATCCTGGAAGAGGAGTGCATGTTCCCCAAGGCCACAGACACTTCCTTCAAGAACAAGCTGTACGAACAGCATCTTGGCAAGTCCGCCAATTTCCAGAAGCCCAAGCTTGTCAAAGGCAGAACTGAGGCCCACTTCTCACTGATTCACTATGCCGGGGTTGTGGACTACAACATTAATGGCTGGCTTGACAAGAACAAGGATCCCCTGAACGAGACCGTGGTCGGGCTGTACCAGAAGTCTTCAGTGAAAACTCTGGCTCTCCTCTTCTCTGGGACAGCATCTGCTGATGCAGGTAATTTTCAATAGAATTAATCTTTTACTTAATGTATAAAACACAATCAGAGAAAGCCTGTATGATGATTGCTTGTGTTTCCCTGCCCCCCACTTAGATGCTGCTCCGAAGAAGGGGGGTAAGAAGAAGGGTTCTTCCTTCCAGACCGTGTCTGCGCTCTTTAGGGTACAAACTTCATTTTCTGTCTCTAATGAGATTTAGGAAATTAAATTTTACTTTATTGTGTGGCGAAGAGGATGTAATCTTGTAAGGATTCTAGAACTGGATGTGAGTCAAGAAGAAGCTCAGTGGCTAGTGGCAGAGCTGAGGCTCAGGGAGGTTTGGGGTAGTTTGGCAGAGATATCTCAGTAGATAGGACACAGACATCAGGAGGCTGAGAGTGAACTGCAGAAGTTAGTATCAGATCGTAAAATTCAATTTGGGGGCTGAAAAATGAAATAATTTGACACTTAAAAGGTCCTACTGGGATGGGATTAAGCAAAACATGAGATTTGCTGGAGACTTTGAGAGTCTACAAATGATGTAGGTGCTCTGGTGTACACTGGCATAGAATTGAAATGAGTAGTTTTGAAAGCTGAGGACAGAAGAATGGTAGTGGGAACTGGAGCTAAAAGAAGGAAATAAGAAACCAGATGCAATAAGAAAAAGCTTTTTAATGAAAATTTACTTTTCTTTCAACAATCTCATTATAATAACTGAAGATCTAGTTATTCTGAAAAACCAGGATTTTCATAGGTTGGAAAACTTCTCACACTTAGTAATATGGCTGTCAGTTTTCTGCCCGTTCCCAGAATGAGGCACTAAAAGGCCACTTTCTATGGAACCAGCAGGAGGACACAACTCTGTAACTATGATAAGGAATCAGTATGTGCTAGAGAAGCAGATACAATTGAAAGTCAGGTAAAGAAAGAAATGGTAGATTTGGAAAAGACACTGAATTATTTGTAAAACCAGACCACTTATCTAGGCAAAAGAGTATGGGTGGAGTATTTCCAGATGTATAAAATGTCACTAAATTTACAACATATGCTAGAAAATTCAACAGCAGCGAAGGACATCTTTAACAGCTAGTAGAAAAATATGTTTATAATGCACAAAAATAGGAACTAGAAGGACATGTTGGGAATGTGGAAATTCCAGAGATAACCCTTTGCAAATTCAAATCTGGATACTATTCATTAGAATTGAACCAATGTCATGCATTGTGATGATTATGTCTGTAAATATGAATGTATGAAAATAGTGCGTTTTGTAAACTAAATATTCAAATGGTTCCACAGGAGAATTTGAATAAGCTGATGACCAACCTGAGGAGCACTCACCCTCACTTTGTACGGTGCATCATCCCCAATGAAACCAAAACTCCCGGTAAGACACTTCTGAGATCCAGATGAGCTCCAGTGTGTTTGTTTTAGACCATGAAATAAGGTGTGTGTATTCTTCCTTTTAGGGGCCATGGAGCATGAACTTGTCCTGCACCAGCTGAGGTGTAATGGTGTGCTAGAAGGCATCCGCATCTGCAGGAAGGGATTCCCAAGCAGGATCCTTTACGCAGACTTCAAACAGAGGTCAGACTTTCTCACTGTGAATTATTTTAAGAGGTTTTTGTCATTTGCTTTAATTTTTCAATGAAAGAATCCTTTATAACTTCTTTTAAAATTGAAGAGAAGAGAAACAAATTTAACAGACTCTGTAACGACATACCAAAAGTTTGACACCCTTTGAATACACAGAGAATATATAAAGAGGTAGATATGATTTCTTGTTTATGTTTGTTAGACTACAAGGGCTATGTTGTTTCTATAGTTAGGCAGGAATTTCCTGTTGGTGACAACAGCTATATCATTTATTTGTTTGGCTTAAACAGATACAAGGTATTAAACGCAAGTGCTATCCCCGAAGGACAATTCATCGATAGCAAGAAGGCTTCTGAGAAGCTCCTTGGGTCCATTGACATCGACCACACCCAGTATAAATTTGGTCACACCAAGGTAGTATTCTCTAAAGTCTGCCTGATGCTATCCTTGTCCCTTTGAAGTTTATGTAAAGTTTCTGATCTGCAACTCTGTCCACACACAGGTCTTCTTCAAAGCTGGTCTTCTGGGGCTCCTAGAGGAGATGCGAGATGACAAGCTGGCCCAGATAATTACCCGAACCCAGGCCAGGTGCAGAGGGTTCTTGGCAAGAGTGGAGTACCAGAAGATGGTGGAAAGAAGGTATTAATGGGAATACTTTACTAAACCTCATAGCCTAGGCATTTTAATTCTGCTTCCTGTTATAACCTGACTTTGAATATTTCTGTTCCTATCACAGAGAGTCCATCTTTTGCATCCAGTACAACGTCCGTGCTTTCATGAATGTGAAGCACTGGCCCTGGATGAAGCTATATTTCAAAATCAAGCCCCTCCTCAAGAGTGCAGAGACAGAGAAGGAGATGGCCAACATGAAGGAAGAATTTGAAAAAACCAAAGAAAGCCTTGCAAAGGCCGAGGCCAAAAGAAAAGAGCTGGAAGAAAAAATGGTTGCTCTGATGCAAGAGAAAAATGACCTGCAACTCCAGGTTCAAGCTGTGAGTATCAGAACCCATTTCTTGCAATCTGATGCTAAAATTTCAGTTCAGCGCTTGCTAGGGGAAAGTCTAAATTCCACCGTACTAGGAACTGATCGTCAATCTTTCCTAATTCACAACTTCTTGGAATGTTCTATAAAATCTCATATACAACATCACTAAGAAGCACTGTGGTGGGATTCCTTGTTCTTGAGAAGGAGAAAATAAAACCATTTTTCCTTTCCCTCTATTGCTTTTCCTAGCAGAATATGGGCAGGAAATAAGGTGATCTTTGCTCCCTAAGATTCTCTCTACTGAAAAATGCAAACCATAGCAGTGAACAAAGAACAATATTGACAGTGAAGAGGAAGGAGACTTTGTGATGAAAACGTATTAACTTGAAACGAATATTCTGGACTTTTACATCTATGGCCCCCTGGCAACTTCCCTTTAACTCTATCTTTAGAAACTCCCTAGTACCTGAAAAATTAGGATCATTGCAAGGATAATGGCAATACTTTCTACAAATAGTGTCAATTTTTATGCAAAGCATGAGAGATAGGATTGATGTTCTTGTTCTGATGTCCCAATAAATATCCCAAGGCTTGGGAAGAAATATTTGATCAAACTCCACTGTCAAACCCATTTTTGTGACTCAAATGACAATAGAATTTTAGTTGCTGCCACTGAAATCTACTATAGAGACATTAATGGTTACCCTCTAGTTCTCTGAATTCAGAAGGGAATCTCTGTTGGTTCCATTGGGTGTATAGGTTTTGGACACATAACTAGAAAATTTAAAGAAAGATTAATTGTAAATACCTAGGTTGGCACTGTGACTTTCCTTGTAGTTTATGTAGACCAAGGTTTTCCAAATTGAGGAGGGGTTCCTTACACCTTCAAGAATCAAGGGATACTTGTAGCAGGTATCTAGGCTTGATCCAAGCATACCCCTCTCCTTTTAGTACAGTATGACCTCTTTTCAACATTATCCTATCAACTATCCATTTAATAAATATTTGATGAAGTTTCAAGCACTAGGATACAACTTTGAGGAAGAGACATAGTCCCTGCCCTCACAGAGTTTATATTCCAACTCCTATTTCTTCTCATGAGAAACATGCTTGCCACTTCTCTAAGCACCACCATTTTAACAAGCTTCGTTCCCCTTAGTTCGTCCAGCTGCTCCCTTTAATTCCCAGCTATTCTATCACTATAGGACATGTCTTCTCTTTAAGTCACTTTTCTGCTATTACCCCTCCCCCCAGCAACTTGCTAGATACCCCACCATTTTGTTTGTTTTTCACATACCAAACTTTTCTGGAAAAAAGTATTAAAGAAAACTAACTGATCTGAAATTATATGCCAACATATTAAACACAGGTTATCATGTAAGAGAGGAAAAAGTTTTACTAAACTCTCTTAGGGTCCCTGGCTGAGTCTAAAAATTAAACTGACAAAGATGGATTAACAGGAGAAAAACATACAAATTTTATTGAATTTTTACATATACATGGGAACCTTCACAAGAGAATGAAGATGCAAAAAGTGACCAGAAAAGGAACCTTTTATACTTTCTAGACAAAGAAACAATAAATTTATGAAGAATTGACAAGACAAAGGGGTTTGGGCTAGGTGTGCTAAATGGTGAAGAAATAACTAGGAGGATAAGGGTTAGTTTAAAAAGGTTTCTTTATACAGCCTTCTCAGCCCCCAATTCCCCATCTCTGGTGATAAAAATGTCTTCTTTCCTCCTAGTACAGAAAGGGTACCTTTCACATGGGAGTTTTATGACCTGTTTCAGGGAAGAAAGGTGAGGGGAGATCAGAGTGGGCTTCCTGCTTCTGTCGTTTTCTCAGACTCCTTCAGCTTACGATATCCAGTATGCCAAGGTGCCATATTTTGGGATAGGGTGCCTTGAACCTCATCATTAGCAAATATAATTGTATCATAATTTCACCAGGAACCATGACTTAAATTTCTTTTTTTTTTTTAATCTCCAGTGCCATAATAAGTGCCTAATAAATATTTCCCAAATGATGGAAAGCAAATGAAAATTAACCTAGGGCTTTAAAACACAATTCACTTGTTTGGTTTCAAAATCTTAATAAAATCTGAAAATGTCCAGAGAACTAAAATCTAAAAGCATCTACTGTCCATTCTCAGGAAGCAGACAGTTTGGCTGATGCAGAGGAAAGATGTGACCAGCTGATTAAAACCAAAATCCAGCTGGAGGCCAAAATCAAGGAGGCGACTGAGAGAGCTGAGGATGAAGAAGAGATCAATGCTGAGCTGACGGCCAAGAAGAGGAAACTGGAAGACGAATGTTCAGAGCTCAAGAAGGACATTGATGACCTTGAGCTGACACTGGCCAAGGTTGAAAAGGAGAAACATGCCACAGAAAATAAGGTATGAATCACATTCTGCTATCCCATATAGACGTTCTGCCATCTAACTAAGCTGCTTTATTGCAGAGATCATTTCTTTTTAATTTTTCAAGGTGAAAAACCTCACAGAGGAGATGGCAGGCCTGGATGAAACCATCGCTAAGCTGACCAAGGAGAAGAAGGCCCTCCAAGAGGCCCACCAGCAGACCCTGGATGACCTGCAGGCAGAAGAGGACAAAGTCAACACCTTGACCAAAGCTAAAACCAAGCTAGAGCAGCAAGTGGATGATGTAAGCCTTACATCGTGTAAAAAATTATTTTTTATTTTGCAACAAAGTAAGCATGAGTTCACATTCTCATGATGTAATGAGTCCTTTGCAAGCACTTCCGATGAATAAGTGGTATGGGACATCATCCCTGCTACAAGGACTAAGAGGGATACACAAGAAGTAAAAAAAATCAAAGTTAGTTGTGAGTAACAGACAATATAGGTAAAAAGAATTAGGGGAAAAGAAGGTTAGAGAGTCCACCAAGAAAAGCAAACAATATGGATCTTTAGCTGGGGTTGAAAGGCGAGAGGCTATGGCAAGATGAAGAAGACAGAGGGTGCTCTATACAGGGAGCAGAATAAGAGCAAAGAAGCAATAACGATCCCTTAGGCTTTCTCTCACAGGAACAAAGGGGATTTTGAATAAGGAATGTGAAAGATAAATTTGGCTTTAAACAGGATCTGATACAGAATAGAGAACCCACTGTAAATGTCTGAGTAAGAGAAGAATTGACAAAGGTCATGGTTTGGAAATATTGCTATGGTGTCCATCCCGTGGGGTGAAGCGCTGATCACAATGGATTCCAGTGGGGAGATATTGAAAGCGCGATGTTTTCCTAGTCATCTACTGTAAAAATATGGTAATGAGTTGCATTTCACCTTTTAAATAATGAATCTTTGGCCTAGGTAAATAGCAATCAGAATGGAATCAATGATAAAAATTTGCCTAATTCAAAGAAAAATCAAAATAATTTCCTGATTAGATATGAGTTAAATGTTTGCAAATTCAACCTGGGAAAAAAGGTGGTAACATTCCAGGAACTGTATTCACGGATTATTAACTTTTAGCTTGAAGGATCTTTGGAACAAGAGAAGAAAATTCGGATGGATCTAGAAAGAGCAAAGAGGAAACTGGAGGGAGACCTAAAATTGGCCCAAGAATCCACAATGGATGTGGAAAATGACAAACAGCAACTTGATGAAAAGCTTAAAAAGTAAGCAGCAAGAACAAAAGAATCATGGGGAAATTACTATTAATATTTCTGTGACTGACATAAAGTGCTTTTCTAATAGAAAAGAGTTTGAAATGAACAATCTGCAAAGCAAGATTGAAGATGAACAGGCCCTTGCAATGCAACTGCAGAAGAAGATCAAGGAGTTACAGGTAAGTACATGGTTTCCATCAGTCTAATTCAACATGAAAAAATTACTAACACAAAGAAGCTAAGTTTGTGCTTTTCACCACTCCCAGGCCCGCATCGAGGAGCTGGAGGAGGAAATCGAGGCAGAGCGGGCCTCCCGGGCCAAAGCAGAGAAGCAGCGCTCTGACCTCTCCCGGGAACTGGAGGAGATCAGCGAGCGCCTGGAGGAAGCTGGTGGGGCGACTTCAGCCCAGATTGAGATGAACAAGAAGAGGGAGGCTGAGTTCCAGAAAATGCGCAGGGACCTGGAGGAGGCCACTCTGCAGCATGAAGCCACGGCAGCCACCCTGAGGAAGAAGCACGCGGACAGTGTGGCTGAACTTGGGGAGCAGATAGACAACCTGCAGAGGGTCAAGCAGAAACTGGAGAAAGAGAAGAGTGAAATGAAGATGGAGATTGATGACCTAGCTAGTAACATGGAGACTGTCTCCAAAGCCAAGGTACAATCGTGGTTTAAGTCATAAAGAGACTTCTGTAAGACAGGAGTGAGTGAGCCTTTCAAGAGTCACTAGTAACTGGCAGGAGGAGACCAGGTCAGCACAAGGCAGAAGACTGGCGGGAGGGAGGGGCAACTCAGGTGTGATGGGGCAGAGCGCTCATCGCCATACCCAAAGAATATGCAGAGTGAAAACTTAAGCTCTTTCAAGTAAAAAAATACAGCTCAACTATAGATTTTGAGATTTTTAAAACACCTCACCTTGATTAGGCTTTTTGTTTTTCCCTTAAGCACAAATACATAATTTGTTTCTCCAAAAAAATCTCGCGAGCTGAATCAAGCATCATTATTCTTATATCACAGATAAGCCAAATGAGTAAACAGTTAAATTCACAAAGCAATTTAGTGGCAGCACGTTTAGACTATGTAACTTGTTACTCTTTCCATCACAATCTAAGGACTCAGTCGTTTTGTTTGTAAAGGCAGTTTATTCTCAAAATATATGAGAACTGTAGTTCCCGTGGGATGCTTGGATTATTTGAAAATTTCTATGGTCCAAATACTTGCTTGAGATGTCTTGTTAAATGCAGGGAAACCTTGAAAAGATGTGCCGCACTCTGGAAGATCAACTGAGCGAACTTAAGAGCAAGGAAGAAGAGCAGCAGAGGCTGGTCAATGACCTGACGGCCCAGAGAGCGCGCCTGCAGACAGAAGCAGGTGGGTTATTTACCAGTGTTGACCTTGAATGACAAATTTACCTTGGATGTTCAATTTGCTGAAAACCTCTGCATGGAGTTACCTGAAATCACATATTACCTCCCTGGGAGGTACCCACTCATAATGAACACATTATTGACCGCTGGCATGGACGTCTTTCTTTCTTTCCTTCTTATTTGTTTGGTTTTAATTGTTGTTGTTGTTGTTTTTAATAAAGAGATCCAGACTCTTTTGTTTTCTAATATTTTAAGGCAGATTTCATTCTAATCAAAACGTTATCAAATAAAAAGTGTATCCTCACAGAATTTATTCTCACTTTTCAAAATGCTTCCACAAGCTATTACTTTACTATCCTCATTAGTTTGTATAATGTTATCCCCACTTTAAAGATGACAGATTATAGTAGTGATGAAATAGCTTGTCCAAAAATGCTTACTCTGGTCTTTTTCCTGAAGTCTTGCCAACTGCTGGTAGTTACCACCGTTTCGCAGGGAAATACTCAGGACTACAACCCAGCCCAGGAGCATTCAAGTGAGGTTTGTAGGATTGATTATCCAAATTGGAGAGTCTCTGCATTTACTCCTTCCTCTAGCAACTTGTCCAACTTTCTACCAAAGTTCCACTTCCCCAAGTGAGAGGTAACAAGATAGAAACTGCTTTATGGGTCATTTGGACTATTAAAGTAATAGGCAATCAAAGTGTTGGAAAACAACTTTACTTTTTTATATGCATCCAAATATTGTTCTTTCTACAACAAAGCTCGAAGTAAGGTTTTATTATTGTTATACTGGTGATAAGTACACTTTATGAAAAACAGAATTGTATTCTCAAAGAATCAAAAGGCTCCTTGTAGTTTCTCTTCCTCGATACATGTTTACTCTTAGTAATTTAGTAGTACAAAAAAAAAAGAAAGTTGGTATTCTTATTAAATGTTAAAGAGATAAGGCTTCCAGGTAACCACTTCAAAAACGGTGCTGAAAGGTTTTTCTCTCTTTTTAACATAGTGTACTTTCTGAATTATGGTGCTTAAAGAACTGGAGACAAATTTAAATGCCATTTAGTTTAGGAACTAATTAGCTATCCATAAACCAACTCATTCTGGGGATGGAAGGATACTTCATAGTTTCTAAATATAAAAATGCTTCCAGTATTTTCTTTTGAACATCACTTCTACTTACAGAGGGAATTGCTCAAAGTCTCCTATTTTCCACAGAATAAATTCTTTGTTTCCACCAAATTTCAATGGAAGGTACACTAGTATGACACTATTGCCTTACACAAAAAGCACTGGAATGTTTTCCGGTTTGATTTACATTTCTTTTCACATGTTTCTTCGTCAATTTCTATTGTGATCAAATAATGTTAAATATCTCACAAAATCTTTTGTGTGGTTCATAAGCATGTAATCTGCCTCAAAGTTTTCCATACTTCTCATTTTTACACAGATTTGCTCATCAGGGTTGAAGTGGATGTTGGTGGTTTGTTATAATCCATGCTCTCCATCATGTTTCAGCCTCAGCTCCCTTTCCTTGCTCCAGTTTGTACTTTAGAGTTTTAGTTATCAGAGTAAGGTTGAGTTTTCTGGTTCTTGGTCTTTATAGGTGAATATTCACGCCAGCTAGATGAAAAGGACTCATTAGTTTCTCAGCTCTCAAGGGGCAAACAAGCATTTACACAACAGATCGAGGAACTGAAAAGGCAACTTGAAGAGGAGATAAAAGTAAGCCCTACTTGTTGTTGTTCTCACTATCCTTGTTTTTGAGGTTGTTTATTTTTAGCTTACTTCTACAGATTTTCTTCTGGCTGCCTACAGGAGCTTACAGACCAAATATCACTTTACAGATATAAAGTTAAGTCACCAATCTCTATGTTCTCAGGCCAAGAGTGCTCTGGCCCATGCCCTGCAGTCAGCCCGCCATGACTGTGACCTGCTGCGGGAACAGTATGAGGAGGAGCAGGAAGCCAAGGCCGAGCTTCAGAGGTCAATGTCCAAGGCTAACAGTGAGGTTGCCCAGTGGAGGACCAAATACGAGACGGATGCCATCCAGCGCACAGAGGAGCTGGAGGAGGCTAAGTATGTTCTAGACTTAGTCAAAATGGAAATATCTCTGTTAACAATCAAAGTGCATCTGCTATAAGTACTACATGAGCAAATGTCCATTGTTCCCAAAACAAATAAAAAACTAAGGAAAAAACATGCATGAACATAAAGCTAACCAAAAAAACCAAATACTCTAGGTTGTCTGAGGAAAGAAATCAAGCTACAGGGTAGAAAGAGAAAAGATGTAAGACGAGAGAAAGCTGAATGATTATTTTTTAAAAGGGGGGTAACTTTTGACATCATTCTATCTATACAGGTATAGATAGACTAAGAGTTAACTGTATTCTCCTGTGCCTCTCCTCCCTCTTAGCTACTAACAAAAATGTTGGTCCAAGGTGATAGGTATGTAAGAAACAAATAATCAGGCTTTAAAGCACAGCTCCTCCTTTTGAGATGTGAAAATATGTCTATTTATAGGGTAAAAAAGAAATATATTGTTAAAGACTAAAAAATAGACATAAAATTCTGTAATAAGAAAGAATAAATTGTTTTATAAAGGACTAAATATTTGATGCAATCAAAAGTTAGAGGGAGAATCTGGACAGGAAGGGACCTACTTATTCAACAGACAGTTTAAGGAGAGATCTAATCATTTATTTGGTGAATAATATACAACTATATAGTTGGAATTATGTCTTGGTGGATGCCTTAGAAGACACTCTGAATGGAGCTCTCAAAGCAAAATTTATATTGATTTGAGAAAGCTTCTTTTTATTAAAGGTTTAATGAAAAGCTAGTAAAATAAAGGATACAATTAGACAGACAAAATCAAGTATATTTCATTTGAATTCAATTCATATAACATTTGAGTACTTAATATGTGTGACAGCCTACAAGGATACAAAGATTAGCAAGATACAAACTCTACCCTCTAGACATCAAATTTCAGTGAAGAAAAGACATAAATAACAGTAATTCAAGAAAGATATTAATATTCCATAAAGGAAGAATAAACCAGCTACCTTGAAGAGTAAAATGTTAGCTTGGGCTGATCATTGATGGCCTTAAAGCCAGACTATGAAGTATGGCGATATTGAAATTTGGGTTGTTTTCAGTATTTGGTTGGTAGGAGAGTGGGAATGAGCTAATACAGAACTGGGCCTACAAAACGAGCTTGGAAAGCAAAACATTAAGGAGTCTGACTCTGGAAATCACTCTCTTGTACCCACTTCGAAACACTCAGTTCTACTGATGGCCATTCACTTCTATCGTCCTTATTTCACCTTTCAGGAAGAAGCTGGCTCAGCGTCTGCAGGATGCTGAAGAACACGTAGAAGCTGTGAATGCCAAATGCGCTTCCCTTGAGAAGACCAAGCAGCGGCTCCAGAATGAAGTGGAGGACCTCATGATTGATGTTGAGAGAACTAATGCTGCCTGTGCAGCCCTGGACAAAAAGCAAAGGAACTTTGATAAGGTATTCTGCACCAGTTTCTGCCTCAGCATTCAATATATGATTAAGGATAGCCTGCCACCTTCAGTGTGCCTTATTCAAACCATCTGAGGACTGTTCTCAGTAGCTCCTGCTCCATGGATAGGTGGGGGAGGAGAGGGGTCTCCTACTCTTCTCACCCTAATTATTTCAGTCCCAGATCATCTCAACGCTGTTTGAGAGTTGCCAGAATAGATGGTTTTCATCCCATCAAACTTTCTTCGCTAAATTTCTGGACCATTCTTTGCACCTCAGGTCCTGGCAGAATGGAAACACAAGTATGAAGAAACTCATGCTGAACTTGAAGCTTCCCAAAAGGAGTCCCGTTCACTCAGCACAGAGCTGTTCAAGGTTAAGAATGCTTATGAGGAATCCTTAGACCAACTTGAAACCCTGAAGCGGGAAAATAAGAATTTACAACGTGAGTACATGTTACCTTTTCTTTAACAAAAGATTTGAAAGAATGTTTTCCCTTATTGAAAAAATTTTTATATTTTTGTTCACCAACAGAGGAGATTTCTGATCTCACTGAGCAGATTGCAGAAGGAGGAAAACGTATCCATGAACTGGAAAAAATAAAGAAGCAAATTGAGCAAGAAAAGTCTGAAATTCAGGCTGCTTTAGAAGAGGCCGAGGTAAACATTTTATCACACTCTAACACAATTACAAGAGGAATTAGGGTCTACTGAATACAAGAACTCATGAATCAAGAGAAAAAAATAATTTTTAGCCTGTATACTAAGTACACATGGATGGAGGATGTGTAGAGGATGGAGAATTGACCATGCATGCAACTAACATAACCGTATGTCAGAAGTTATGGTAGACACTGAGAAAACAAAGATGAATAAGTTAAGGGCCCTGCCCTCAAGGGCATGATCTAGCTGGGGAGATAAAAATATATAAAACCAACAAGCAAACACTGTAGAAACTTAATAACAATGGAATCAAGATGTATTATGGCAGCACAAAGGTAGGAACTAATTCCTATTTCTAGAATATATACACTTCCATTCCCTGCTAATGTCACTCCTTGCTGTCATTAAGGCATCTCTTGAACATGAAGAGGGAAAGCTCCTGCGCATCCAGCTGGAGTTGAACCAAGTCA